GAAAATCATTTTTTTAATGTAAATATCTGACACCATGTGCTTAACATTTTAAATTTAGACTCTCCCTGTCAAGACATTTGATGGGCTGGTAACTTGCCCAGGTTATGCCCAAGCAGAAGACAAGGCTCTTTATGTTCTGTCATCACTTGCTGTCACAGATGAGGAGAAGCAGCAGATTGAGACAGCCACAGTTGGGCAAGTAAAGAACCCATTATGGTAAGGAAGTGCATTAGAAAAAACTCAAATGCTAGTTAAACTAGAACTGTCAAAGTGAACTCTCTTGACTTGTATTGTCGCCTGCATCGGTGCAAAAAAGCTGTGTGTGAACACACCGAAAGGACTACAGATGACTGTTAACTAGCATGTGTGTTCTGCGCCTGCGTGTCAAGGAGAAAACATTAAATATCTGCAAATATATTTGTCTATATCACTGTTTCTCAACCCAGGTCCTGGAGACCCCCCAACACTGCACATTTTGCATGTGTCCTCTTATCTGATACACACATTTCAGGAACTACAGTTTCTTCAAATGACCTGATGAGTTGAATCAGGAGTGTTTGATTAGGGAGACATGCAAAATGTGCAGTGTTGGGGGGGTCTTCATGACCTGTGTTGAGAAACATTGGTCTATATTGATCATTTACAAAGGGAAACTGAAACTGCAGACTGCAGATACAATATTACAGTTTTTAAAAATTGCTTACACACTAAAAGTGATACTTGAGGCCCACTTAGGGGAACCATTCATTCATATACCTAATTTTTAGACCAAGTCTGCAAAACTATAAGCACAGTACTTGCTTTAAACTCAGTTAGATATTGTAAAACAAACTTTTTGCAAAACTCTAAACACAGTTCTCTACATTACACACATCATTCAAAACTAAAAGCTCTGCCATCTGCTGTCAGAGAGTGAAAGTGCGCTTTCATCCAGAGCGTCTCTCACATGTTCTCCGCCATGTGCTTCACGTCCGCGCTTGTTTACAGAGTGCCATTCTATATTGTACAAAGTGCTTTATAAATAAAGCTGACTTTCTGACTTGGCTTACATGCATATTCAGTGTGTGTGTGTGTACACACACACACACACACACACACACACACACACTGAATATGCATATAAGTGTTGAATATGCATCTGTGTTGTATGCATATTCTGTATTATCTATCTATCTATGTATCTATCTATCTATCTAGTCAGTTCAGTATTAATTTACTCTGATCAGTTGCATAACTTATCAGAAATGTTTTAATGTTTTATTATCCACTTAATGTTTTAGTAAGCTATACATATTTTAAGTTAATATTGTTTGTATGTAACGATACTTTGTATAATCATTATAACCAATAGTTTATAGAGACCAATGTGGTAATGTTAGCACTAGGGATATGCCGGTATCAAATTTTCATGTTGCGATTAATTGCTAATGCTTTTATCATGGTATGCGGTATTATCACGATATTGAAATTTAAATCAGAGCGTCTCTCACATGTTCCGCCATGTGCTTCTCGTCCGCGCTTGTTTACATCAGAGTGCGCACGCATCTTTCATGCAGCATACGGCGGTGTTGTGCATTTTGACCAGTTGATGGGAAAAGTATTCTTAAAATGCATTCAAAATTCGGAATAATTTGTAATATATAATTATTCACGGTATTTAGGAGTGCCCACGATAACAATATCGTGCATATTCATTACCGTGATATATCGCATTACCGAATACCGGCACAAGTCTAGTTAGCACCAACTCGCGTCATTTTTTTCCCTTTTTTGTTTGTTCGTTTAAGAATATAACTTACCTTATCAACTGCAGCCACTTCTTCTTCTCTTTCTCATTGCAAGGAAATCGGTAGAATGACATCTGCGTAGATTTTTTGAACTCAGATCGATTCAAACAACAAGGGACACAGCACTGCGGCATATAGAAAATACAAGAGATTTTAGCTAGCGCTGTAGAGGCTTGGACCCGGAAACAGAATCGTTACGTCACGACTTAACAAGCCAATAGCCACCGCACAATTAAGCAAATCCCAGCCGGGTCCATCACTTTTTGGGGTCCCCTTGAAACATTTCTGTTGTGGTTCGTGCTATTTGCAACGCGTTTCTTATTTGGTTGTGTGTTGTGAGGATTTACAGTGCGTTTCTATATTTGCATGTGTTGTGAGGATTTGCAGCACATTTTTGTATTTGTGTTTGCGTTGTGAGGATTTGTAACAAGTGTGTTGTCAAACTGATGAAGACGTTTTCTTAATTTGCTGGTGTTTTTTCTATTTGCATGTGTTTTTTTAAGTTGCAGTGCGTTGAATTCTCTCGGGCACCGTAAATTAGTGAAATTGCGTGAACTTAAATTGTCGTTTATGAAACCGCTTTAGTCCCAATTGATTTGTTAGGCTATTTCAAGTCAGGTCTTGGACTTTAATCCCCGCTTTTCTTCATCTATGTAACAGCCCCCATGGTCAGGTCAGTTTTAAATACGCATGTTGTCATAAGTTTACGTACACCTTGCAGAACAGTCGTGGTCATGTAGGTATGGCACACAGTATTAATAATCAAACATATATACAGATTTAAATGAGGTATTTTTTTAAAATCCAGCTATTATTTTTTCTTGTTTACTATATTTCAATATCCGTTATGTGAAATAGCTCACAATTATACTTGAAACAGAACAAATGCTCCAATAGTTATAGTAATGTAATTAATCATTAGTCAAAAGTGTCTGTCTACAATCAGGAAGTATAAAGTATCAAGTAACAACAAGACTACCCCTGAAACAACCTCGGCAGAAGGCTGGTTCACATGTAACTGCAACTGAGACTTGTTTCCAGGGGAAAGTCATGCTGTGAAAATATGACTTTCACTTCTTTCTTAGTTTTTAATTTTAGTGTAGGCCTCAGGCCAAAAAAAGAAAAGAAAAAAAGAGCACATAAATGAACGGTGGAAACTAAACATGGAGTTCCCCTGATGGTTTAAAAAAAATGTTCGCTCAATTACACTAGAGAAGGGGACAAAGGGAGACAGAGACAGACATGCAAAAATGGTAAGAGGAACAAGTCTGATGTGTCACCAAAGGGCACTTTTAATGGCTTAATGACCTTATAATACCTAGCAGTTGTCCATGTGACTTACAGTTAAAATACTTATTTTATATATTTATATATTATAAAAAACATTATTGCTTCCATTTATGGTAAGCTAGCTGCTTGAACTCCCTCTAATGGTTTCTGCATTTGTTTAGAATGGCGAAAGATAAGTGAAATGTGGTACTCTGAACCACTAAAATGATAATTCAAGCCACACTCTGGTGGAACTCCCAAAATGAACCATGGCATTTATAGTGACTCTTTGCAGTCACATGCAGAACTGGAATAATAATGCTGCATTTTAAGACGGTGTGGACAGATGTGGAGATGAAGCCTTGTATTCTGTGTTAGATAAACTTAATATTCACATTTCAGACTATGCCACCTACTTGAATGTACCAGTGTTTCATTTTACCAGCTAGTACTTGTTTGAGAGGATTTCATGAAATATGATGCATTGTCTGTCTTTGAATTTATCCTATGGTAGCAAAAATCCTAAATCTTATGTTTTATTTTTGTTTTTGGTTGGGAACACCTATTCTTTCATTCAGTGAAATAACAGGGCTAAATTTCCTCTGAAACAATCCTAATGACAGTAGTGTTTTAAATATGAAAGCACAACTCGTTTAAACATTAAAACAAGTTGTTTATTTATTGTTCAAAGGGGATTAATGCCTCTTTCAGCCCCCAACATAGCATCATGCTTGTTCATCACATCAAGAGAAAAGAGCACAGTGCTATACATATTATAAATACAAGCCAAAACAATGCACATCAACAAAACCTCTGTTTAGTTGTCTTTAGGACGGACTACCCCCCCCCCCCCAAAAAAAAAAAAAAAAAAAAAA